GTTCTTCGTAAACGGCAGCAAAAAAAATTAACTTCGAAAAATTATGAGACATATGAGTGGCCAGCATTGATAAAACAAATCATAAGATGTAGATATCCATCAGATATCAAAAACTATGATTGTTATAAAAAGCCAGATGTTGTTTTTACCGTAGAAACGTTTATTGATTTATTTGCACAATAAACAATGGAATGCTGTCTTTTCTTGCTCTTGCTATCACAGAAAGTATCTTCTAACTGTGTTCAGCAGATGCGCAATCAAAAATAACCTACAAATATTTGAAATGAACAAAAATGAATGTAAACTAACATTGAAAATCGCTCAAAACCTCTTTTTTTCTAGAAAAGGGTTCCAAAAATCTGGTTTTTAAAACCCGCCATATGTCTCTAACTAATTAATATAACAGAACATATATGTGTTTCTCATTAGCAACCGTCCCCAAGCCTATTGACCACTGTCACATCCCCGTAACTAAGGAAAATTTCTAAAAAAACCATATATTTCTACTACTGCTTCCAGAAAACCGCTATTTTCACCGCCAAAAACCATTCAAAATGCGACAAATCGCACATAATCTGAAAGAGGACACTTTGGGCTCTCAGTATATGTGCTTATCCCAAAATCGATTTTTGTGAAAAAAATCGATTTTCTGAGGGGGGGGGGAGCCCCTTAAACTAAGACATAAGTCACTTTTTTCTTATTCGTGATAGATGTCGCACTCTCAAGCTTTGATTATCATAGTTTACCTTTTCATTTTCTCTGCTGAAAACGTAAAAATAACAGAGTAAGAAATGCGCTTATTTATGCTTGGCTTTTTCCACATTATTTTATTCTGCTGATGTAACTTTCTGATAACAACAACAAGAATAAACAGATACAATACGCTAAATTTTTGATAATATATTGCAGGAATTAAGTTTGATTTTCTCTGATAAATTATTATTATTTTCATTAATTATAATAGTTAAAACATGCAATAGAACACAAGATCTGATGATGTAAATATTTTATTATTAGGACAAACAGTTGTTGGCAAGAGTACGTTTATAAACACATTTTTTAAATTAGCTCGTTTATAATGATCTAGATATCGCTATGAATGGTTTGATGCAAGCACTCATACCAACTTCATTTTCTATTACAGATCCAGATACATCTGAAATACCAAAAATTGCCTCATCATCTACATATAAGTACTCAAGAAAATCTTATGTTTATTTTTATAAATGCTTGATCAAGTTTCTATAAACCTTGAAGTATATCGATGCTTTTAAAAACTCTTCTTAATGGTTTACATGATAATATTGGTATTGATATACCTTTTTCAAAAGAAACACATTTTTATTTGATAATGAATAATTTTGTTTCTTAGCTGCATATGAAAATAATATTGAATTTTCATCAAAACAAAGTTGAAATATATCAATTAATGAATTTGAATAGTTTTATGTCATATTTATTGACTCGTCCATTACATTCATTAAAAGATATATTAAGATGAAATTATGATAAATAATTAATTCGAAAATTCACTCGATCAATTGCTGAAATAGCTACATTAATTGAAGAAAATATTCAACTTGCTAAAAGTCACGAATAAAATGTTCTTTTGAAAGAAACCGATGCACCTGAATTAATGCTTTAAAAGAATGCTAAAGTTATACCATTTAATTGTCGAAGAACAGTATTACAAGTGATAAATGTTGTCAAATTATTGTTAACTGTATGAAAAAATTTGATTATGCAAAGGGTGTGTAATGTGAATGTGGTTCGTTTCTTCACTCACACTCTCATACCCACACCAATACACATTTTACTTACACTCACATCTTCTATTTTTTAAAGATATCATCAAGCCCTCGTCAAGTGATAAATAATTATAGAAATGAGTGGAAATCTATTCGACGTGTTATCAAGATGGACATTTTCGAAAAGTTTCATCGCTTCTTCCTACTTTGTCGGGGTTTTAAATCGCTGCTAGAAGAAAAAAACACGGATAAAACTTTGTCACTGCCACATCCATACATTCTTATTATTAGTTTTCGTAGCTGAATTCACAATAATTGGAGACTGTTCTGAACGGCAAAGAAACAAATGAAAGTTGTGTAAACGAAAATCCAAACATCTTGCCGATTAATGCATGTATACATACGCAATAGTCTTTATCAAGGCTTTTTGAATTCAAAGGTTTCTTTGAGTGATTGTTATTTGGATTGCGACTTTATTGCGCGTGACAGGCATACATTGTGCTTCCTATAAATTTATTTCTATCTAAGTAAATACGTAGTGTGCAATCAATTTGTACAAAATACAGTCGTAAAAAAATAATTGTAAAATAGAATTTGTCAAAGAAACTGAAAAAAGAAATCCGTGTTGATAAGAAGAAACAACTGCAGCTGTACATTTAATTTGCTATCTTCGTTTGAAAGCGTCTATATATATATATATATATCATGGCGACTAATGTCGTAGCTCCAATTAACTACTACAGTCGTCATGTTTTACCTCAAAAGGTTTGTTCAAATCATAGATCTTCTCTATACGACGATAAACAAATTCTTTTTTTGGTCATATAGATCATCTCCAACCGACCACGACAACCGAAAATGACATCATTCAGTAATGTTGTTGTTAATGTCGATGAAATTCCATCGGCTAAATGGTCACAACCGGATTCGAACAAGTCTCAGAGATGGAATCGATCATCAGCAATTGCGGACTCGTCAGTCATTGTAACAGAAAATAAACAGGTCCTTCATTTTGATTTTCTAGAATGCCATCATGTTGCAAATGTGGAATGATAACAACAATCATAATATTGACAGCTGGTCTTATCACAGTGATTGCCTTACTGTTTATGTTATCAAGAAATCAAACAAATGATTCGAATAGTTAATAAAGATCTACTATCTAAAAATAATGCCAAATTTTTCGTTATAGTTGCCAACACCAGTAGTTCTTCCTCAACAAGTCTAGGCAGTACATCAATGATACTCAGCACTGTATCAGGAACAAACGCAATTACTACTAGCGGAACATTTTCTATCAGTGCCACTACAAGTAGTAGCGTGAGTCCAGTTTTTGTTACTACCGACAGTAACCTCGCCTCGTTGAGTACATCATCAGACTCAACTACTAGCTTTGCATCAACTACCAGTATGATTACAACATCATTTACAACCAGTAAGTTGGATGCCTATTGTCCAATATGAATAGTAGAGTTCTATTATTCTATACAACCAAAATTATTTGTATTTCAATATTATTTAGAAAGATTAAGAATTTAAGGCAAAGTTTAGTAAAGATTTTTTGCAGAAAAATAGCAAAAACAAAATCTGTATTTACAATCCTGATTGAAACTGCCGAACAATTCGTTGATTTGATCATGTAAAAGTTCGCATGTGAAAAACCATGCACAATCACGTCTAAGTAATATCATTTAGCTGCAATTCAATTTCTTCAAACTAAACAGAATCCATGTTGCATACAGATCCTGCTTTGGTTATCTCAGATCGATCGTTAAGCTTTAATTTGGAATTTTCTTTTCCTTTCACTCACTTATATGCTACGTCAGCAAGTGCTTTCAAAAGGTTTGGGTTGAAGATTACAGTATTACTGTGAGTGTGATTGCAGTTGTGAATAGGAATGTGGGGATGAAATGTGAAGGTGGATGTCAGTGAAGAAAATATATACACTCACATCCTCCTCCGTCAGTGGAATGACATTGTGTACAAGCAAATTACATTATGAACCAAGTTGCATAGACTCTCTCCAGTTGACAATGAGACCATTCGTTTCTACCTTGTTGTCTATGGACGTTTCGCTCTCTTCGTATAGTACGCATTCTTCTAGAAAATGTAGTCGCCGAGGTCATCTATGAATCATGTTCTTAGATATTCGTTCAATGCACGTATAAGTGACACGAGATACAATTGCCACGACGTCGATATCTACTTATCTGTGTATATTCATTCATTCTGTCCTATACAGAGGTGATGAACGAAGAGAAAAGAGAGAAACATGCTTGCTCATTAAGATTGTATATGATAAATGTTTCGTTTCTTAGTAGAGGTGGCACATTTACTTTACTTTTCTGTCAAATAATTTGTAAGTTATACGGAACTAAATTACTCATAAATTAATTGCTACTTATAACTTAGTAACTAACAAACTACAGTGCTGGACAAAAGTTCTGGGACAAAGTTTTCTCTTTTATAACTTTTGATTAAGAAGCTATCATGAGCCAATGGTGGTATGCTTTGATAGATCTAACAGAGACCTTTCATATACTATTATTGCATTGTGAATTGGAAGCTTCTATAGAAAGTTATATAAGTTTAAATGTTAGCCCATTGGCCAAAAGTTCTGGGACACTGCAGGAATAATCCATTGGATACTAAGCATTGTATACAAAAAATGCTTGGAGGAAGCTGAAAATTTCAGCATTTATAGTTCCTACTACAACGATATTATTCATAAAAAAAATTCGAAAGAACAATTAGTATTACAGTTTTCTGAGGCTAACAAAAATTGCACTCCTAGAAACTTAAGGTCTCCATCGATCTCCGTCCTGGTATATGGAACCTTCATGAAACTTTCAGGACAGATTGGCTACATTGTCACTAGTAAATATCCAAAGTTTCAGCTCATTTCACCATGTCAGTTCCGAGATATCTCAAATTTAAGGGCAAAAAACAGCACCTTTTCAGTGCAGAATTTCACCCACACCTTACATACAAAATGACCCGGGTCGGTTTTAATTTATAGAAGACACCTGGATTGAGCTCACTACGGTGTCTGTTCTTTTAATTTCCCATTAGTTGTTTAGTAAACGAAAATATACGGCAACATGGGTAAGAGGGTGTGGGTGTGGGTGGGATGTGGGTAGGATGTGGGTGTGGGGGGGGGGGTTGTGTGAGTGTAGGTGGGTGTGGATACAAAGACAAAATGCTCACGCACACCCACCCACACTCACACCCACACCCACACCCCACACACCCTCAAGCCATTAATGCTTCAAAATTTTCTAATGCTGTATGTTCAATTTTTAAAAGTTTTATTATTGGTCGTACAATTTCAAGCATCTAAAACATAAGATTAAATTTTAAATAATATTCAATTATATTAATAT